GGTTTGTGAGTTGTTGTCTAGGTAACACAGTGGACAGTGGAGATAATGTTTTGTTGTTGTATTGTTACAAGTGTGTAGCGGTGAATTAGTGACAGGAATGTTTGTAGTTGGTTGAATGAAGCGGTGTTTGTTGAGGGTGGATGTGTAGAGTGGAGTAATGATGTGTAATATGTAACAAATTATGCATATGTATATCTGCGTATTGTGTATGCATGCTGTTTAAATATGGTAGTAGGGATAAGCTTAGAGTTGTTGTAATGATAATCCTGAGTGATGGTGATAGTAGTAGGATGTGTTGCTTATGTGTTTTGTTTTCCGAAGTTGAAGTTGAGAGTAGTATGATGGTGAGTGAGTTGACTTTCCTCTTATAATTGCTCTCTGACTATTTTAAAGTGTTATTTACATGGGATGGAGATAGAAGTGGTGGAGGACACTCAACTAATTCATTGACAATTTTCAGTGCCAAGACATAAGTTTTCATTGTTTTAAACGATGTTAATAGAAACGTTAGCCTATTAAACATGTTATAATTATAGATCTTTTACATTTGTACTCGTTCCTTGAATTTTATGTTAACAATAATGTGTAGCAATTAGCCTATTGTTCATAATAATGATAAGCATGAAGCAACTCAACAGAATGTGAGTTATTTAGGGTTTGCTCACAGTTGTCTTTCTCAAATGCTCAGTTGCATTCCCTGTTGTTTGTTTTTATGATTAGTGATAAAGTTAGCATTTTTTAGTGTATTCCTTAGTTATTTAGTTTCATGGAGAAATCATGCACCTTGAGCACTAGTGGATATCAGTCTTTTGAGCATCCTCTGAGATGATATGGGAATGTTTGGAGTGAATTTTTCTTCGTCATATGGTTGACCTCTACTCTTGTTAACTGATTACACCTAAGTTTGTAGCACAGAACACTGTTGTCGAATCCTCTTAGTATCTTTATTATTAGATGCGAAGAACTATTCTTAGAGCTTGATATTCAGTGTAGGTGAAAAAAGTTTTTGTTCTCTGGAAACGTTTTGCTATTTGAGACTCAGGTAAGATATCTGTATGGAATGTTATTAATCAGTACACTGTTCTACTGTACATTTGTGTGACAGTAGCTAAGTGTTGAAAGAGGTGTTAATTTTGGAGGTATTTGGAAGCCACCATCTTGGGATGACTTGTGTGTACTGAATTCATTTGTATTGCACATTTAATTATTTCTCATTTTCCATGGGATCTGTATCAAAGTGAGGTGTGAGGAACAAATTATTAGATTCACGCTTTTGAGAGACTTTGTATGAAAATCTGTAGGGGGAAAGTCTGAACTGAGGATATGAGGCGTAGAAAAGATCTAACAGCAGACTTGACTTAGATAATTCTGAGGTGTTAATCTGTCTGAATAGAATATTGATGAGTTTTACAAGACACTAGTTAACAAAGCATTTCAGTATTACTGATGATAAGTCGTTAGCAGTGAGAGGTGTACAAGCTGTGATATCAGTATCCTCTCTAGATTTATTGTACGTACTACTGGCTACAGGATATCAAAGTAAAATATTTCTTGTTAACTGTTGTTAACAAGTGATGTTTTTGTAAGACGTCTGTGTTTGTTCATGCTTTAATGTCCAACGATTTTGGGCATCTCTGTCATCATCATCATCAAAGCAGTTAGTTGCGAACTTCTCTTTATACGCCATGTCAAACATTTTTACGACAGCTAGGTTTGTTAGTTAAGCAGTCTCTACTATTCTAGTTGACATAGTTTATTTTGGTTACTACGAATGTCTTACCAATATTACATACCCCAGAACTTATGAAGTCTTAGATAGGTGGAAATAATGCAGCAAAAAAAGAGTTGGCTCTTTATCAAGTAGGCCTATTACGAATATACGTGCATTAACGTAAACTACTGTCAGTATGGTGGATTCTTAAGAAAAGTGAGAATCATTTCCAATATTTCGAATGTCCACTTTGTCTTGTAAACCCCAAAGCCATAATTTGAAACGAATAATTTTCGAAAAAGATTTCAAGTAGTTAACTTCGAACATTTTCTATGTAAATGGATACAGCGCACGTGTGAGATTCTGTGATAGTCCCTTTTCATAAATATGCAGCCCAAACTCTGAATTACCTATCTATTATCGTAAGTAATATCAAGAGACAACACGATATATACTAATGATGGAAGTATATAGCCGTAATTCTCTCACACCAATTCGCTGAAATTTTTTGCTGACTAGAGATGATTTGTCACTGTTCATGCTAGTCATTAGTATATACTCCTTCATGCATGACTCAGTTGAATTCAGCATTAAAAAAGTGAAATATAGTGAAACAATTATGTATCATCAGAAACTTAATAATGCCACTATACAGTTAGAGAGTACGACTCATTGGTAGCGTATGCAATTTAAACGTGCTTCACTTCATAAAGAAGCCAATCTTGAAAAATACATTTGGTGTAATGAGAAGATCACTATATGTATCAAGAACACTCAGGAAACAACAAACATTAGTCATTTCTGTCATGAGATGACAAATCAGTAGTAAGTTATTTATAGTTACTTAAACAGTGACAGTTAATCAGTTATGGAGTAGATGGTTGTGAGTTTTCATTTCTTATTTCAGCGTTCAAGTGATCATCATAGTTGCTTGAATATCTAAGTGAGAGAACTTTAACGATTAGGCTTCGTATCATTTGAATTGATATAGATGATTGTTTTGTTTGTCTTTCTTCTATACTTTGAATATCTTTGCATTTGTACTCTCATGTATTTTACTACTCTTAAATTTTGTATGTTCCTCTTCAATTATTGTTTGAAGTCTAACGTCAGTTATCTGGCTTTGCTTTATTATAATGCTTATTATGAAAGATAAATGTCTCTTGTTTTAAACAAGATCAGTTACTGAGTAGCAATGAAAATAGCTGGTGCTTACTCCTCAAGTTAGACAGCAGCCTTAATATGGAAATGGCTCATGTGAACTGTTCATCTAGTAAGTATTTAGAGAATCTCCTTCGGTGCATTTTATCCAAGGTTTAATTAACTCATTTCAAAATTTCAAAGGAGATTCGCGTCATTTATTTGGTGATTACGACAATTATTTCGAACCGAATTAGGTTCGTAAGATTGCTGACTTTTCTCACCCTATTTTATAGCTGTGTTATTGCCTGTGGGGCTCGATCACTAAATCTTTGTTCATCAATTCATTGCCTTGCTCATGTAATAGAAATGAGTCAACACCGATTGAATATATGTGTAAAATCTTACTACCAATTAAATCAGAGAACAAAAAAGGGTATGGGTATAAATAACTAGAGCACATAGCTGGGTGATTACTTTGACATGAATATTAACAATGAATTGTACTCGAGATGCTATTTAATAAGTACTATTGTATCACTGTTTGATATGTTGCTTACACTAATGAAATGTGAAATTACACCATAACATAATCCATAAATCTTATAATTAATTTTCTCTCACTTTTATCAGAATTCTGTCCATCTAACTTCAATGTGTAACTAATACCCCTCCACATCGAACTCCCTACTCAATCTTCTAATACAGTCGTTTATCTTATTGCCTACTACTGAAATACTACATCATTTCGTTATACATCTTTCTAACCACAAAAATATATATAACATTCTTGAATTTTCATTTACTATATGGTTTTTAATAAGTTTCTGTTTAAAGTTTTGCATTGGCTTTCGAGGTTTTGCAATACGTCATCAAATACTGAGCCAACGCTTATGAATTGGATGATAGAAATGATACATTTTTAGATTTCCAAAGTTGTCGGTAGTAAATCGCCGAAAGTGGTACATCAGTTAAAGAAGCGAATAATGTTATGCAGTAAATATGTGAACGTTGAATAGGTTAGTTACTTAACTGGCAAGTTATACAATACTGATTAATGTGAAGCGTGAATGATAGTGTTAAGTTGGCAGCTGTTCGAACTAACTGCACAACAAGAGGAGAACGGAAGCATTTTACTCATGCTGAATTGATCTGTGTATGGTCTTAGTTATCGAAGAGATTGCAGGTAATTATTTCTAATGAAATGTTTATTATTAGAAAAAGAAACCTTAAAGTATGAGTTTAATGAAGATGAAAACAGTTTGTTTTACTTATTTCTTGCTTAGCCAGTTTAGGTGTGAATAACGTGGTGATGAAACTCACCTTTTAGATAGCCTGGTTGGACAAGGTATTTAAGAGTTATCGCTAACTATATATTCGTTTGACAAACCTTATTCAGTGAAGTTTATCTTATTGCCGTAGGATAGTTTTCGTTAGTGTTGCGTCGCACCTGTATAGAACTGGAAACCAGCGGGCGGTGGGAAGTAGTACTACAGTAGTTGAAAACTCATCAGTACCTCTCCTCAGTCCGTAGGGCTGTCAAATCCACAACCTCCATACAATATGGCAAGCACTTTACAGAGGTACACTTGCATCAGAACTATATGAGGCTTTACCGAAATGTGATATGACAATTAGGGTGTGGATAATTTATGAACGGATCTGAAACGGTGACATCTATCCTGAACAATATCACCTAGTGTTTCGAATTGCTGTTTACGCCCTTCAGTGTTATCCCGAACTGTCTTTATGTGACTAATGAATAATATGCATGTATATCGATTAGCTATAAGACGTTTTTCAGTGACCAACAAATTAAACGCGTGTACAATATCCAACAATTTTTGGCAAAGAAAAGTGACCATTAGATGCTCCTAGATTCTTGACCGTCATTTTATACGATATGAAATCGCAATTAAAACAGAGAAACTAAACTCCGTCTACCAGAAGTTTTGACTGAATATTTTTTTAAAAATTACTCAATATTTATGACACAATTTCATTTAGGCATAATGAGGTGCAAGTGGCAAATTAACTTGTCAAAAGTAGATTTAAAAAACAACTAGAAAATCTGATTAGAAGTATTTTACTTGATAGTACTTTGTTTCATTGAAAAAAAATTTGTTTAAATTTTGTTTGTCATTAAAAGGCGCTAAATTCATTTGACAATGAACGAAAAATGAATAAGAGAATGGAAAAGTCATTCAGTTGTACACATCGATCACTTATCAGTGCAGAAAATTCAAAAAGTATCACCAATTCAAGTAATCCATCAGCTTCAACCAAAATGGTTAACATTTCTGGTAGTAATCAAAGCGATTCACGCTTACTAACAAAAAACTCTGAAAAGTAATCTTTTTTGTACTTTTTCTTTCAGTAGTATTTTCATTATGAATAAAAGATAGTTTGAAGTTATTAAAGTGATTCGTAATTTTAGTCCTGGTTTACAGTTAAATTTTTTCGCTTAACGTTTCATTGAGTTATTCTTTAATCTCCTTATATTGTTAGCCCAAGTTATTTAGAAGAGATATAAGATTTATACAGTTGAAAGTAAGTGATCCACAAAAGGCTGTATATTAAACCATCGTCTACTGGAATACACTATGCTAACAATACTAACAGTAATAGTAATAATAATAATAATAGCGAATATAATAATAACCACTTTAGTCCAAATAATATGTATGATACAGTATGGAATTCTTAGCATATAACTTTTCAAGAAAGTCACTACAAGAACAATATTTTCAGACAAAATGGTTGTTGAATCTGAATGGTATTAGTAAGAACAGTATTCAAGGTGATAATGTGAAACAGCCAGCTGGCTTTGAACTAGCATCCAGTTCACAATGAAGAATCAACAGAAACACGAGCATTAGTTTGATGGTGGTGGTTCATTCAGCCAGTACAAGAATCTGCAACTCCAACTAAGTATCCAAGGAATAGAAATACAATTAATTTTCGTGTGCTGAAAAGTCCATTTCCATATAACGTGACATTTTTTTCTCTCTGCTTTTTTCATTAACTCCAGGAATGGTGAGTTGAAAACATTTTAAAAATGCGCAAAAGTATAAGATACACTCAGATGACGTATTTAAATGATTAAAACAAGTCGAAGGGAAAAACTTTGATGTATATGTTCAATAGAAAATTTTGGTAGACCAAGGTTAAAACAGGCTACCATAGAAAATATATAACTCTGTGAATTTTTTAGTTCATCTTTACACATACAAGTAGAAAGTTATCTACCCAACTTCAATAATAATAATAATAATCGCTTTATCCCAAAGTCATATGTGTGATACATTATAGAATTTTCAGTAAGTAGTATTTCAACAAATACGCTCCCTGTACAATATTTGTGAAAGAAATAATTATTATATCTGAATATTAAGGCCACTAATAGGAAACAGGTATCTAGTGTTATATTAGCATCTGGTTTGAGCTTGAGAATGAATACAAAATCGAGTGTTATTAAGGTGGTGATAGCTTAATCAGCTAGTACAAAAGTCTACAATCTGATATAGGTATCCTAGGAGTAGTGCTATGCTGTATTTTTGAGCGCGAGAGTACATGGTGCACTTAGAAGACATATTTAAAAGATTAAAACAAAATAAAAAAGAAGAATGTGATGAAACATAGCTTCGGTAGGAAAATGTCTTGGTAGCCGAAGACTTAAATAGTTCGCCTTAAAAAGTTAATAAATATTCGATTGTGAACAGAAAATTCTGGGTTGCCTTTGAAAGTATTCACAGTTGTGAAATGCAAAGGAGTTGATGGAGAGAAATATGATATATTTTTGCACAGTGAAAAGTTCTCTTCCATGTAACATGACATTTCTCCTCTGTTTTGTTAACTCGAGAGGTAGCAAGATAAACAGATTCCAAAAATGTTCAAGATTACATGATGTGTCCAATGAACGTAAACTATTAAAACAAATTTTAAAGAAGAAACTTGATGTATATAATTGGTGGAAATTTTTAGTAGCCCAAAGTTCAGAGAGTCCTTCATGTGGTTAATTTTGATCAAATATTTCATTTACTAGACCAAGAAACTGTACCGATTCGTTTAGCTCCTAAATACTGTTCTTAGTGACGTATAAAAGTATTTGGAAGACAACTATCATTATTTGGTAGGTGAGAACTATAGATGATATAGTTCAGAAGAGACGTTAATGACTTAATCAAGAACAAGATATTCAGCAAAGAGACTCTTTCCAACGAATTTATTTTCAAGCTTTACAATCATATATACATATGATATTTGAAAGATTATATCCCATGAGGAAAACTAAACACTATATGGTAATGACAATAATAATAGAGTGGATGATGACATAGGCATTTGTGGTTATAATAACAATTGAAGTGCGAATGATATCTTAATCTACTTTACGTCTTCACTTCCCCTCTGCTATTTGTTCTATGGCTATTTTATATCTACTGATATTTTCAGTTTGTTTTTTCTCTAATTGACTTCCATTTTGAGGTACTTTTGTTAACTGGATGATAATCACGTTTTATTACGAATTGTGAGAAGTAGGAAAATATGGACTATTGGCTTACAACCAGTGAGTGAATGGTGACGTGCTTGCCACAAGACTTCATGATCCTAAGTGCAGATTGCTAGAGACTCTCATATTAGGAGGAAACAAATTCCTAGTGCTACCAGGTTCTCAATGATATTTCAAGTGTGGTTAGTTCATGACGAATACTACGTTGAAATCGATCAATCTATCCAAACCTCCAGAGTGAATTGATGTTGAATTTAAAATCCTCATAAATTCAAATAAAACAAAGATTTCAACGAAAAGATTTATTTTTGCTAAAGAAATGAGACTTCGATTGTCCAACTCAACACGGTTTCACATGTTCACTTACTCCTTTGGATCTACGTACATGAGACTTTTATCGAGAAACATTTTCTGACACATTCGAGCTCACCTTCTAGTGTGGCTGAGTAAAAGAGAGTGTAGAGGTATAAACTCATCAGTCTTTCAACATGTAGTGAATTACAACCAGTCAAACTCTAAATCATTTACTAGACCAAATCGAAAATTTCGAAAGGTGCATGCATGTACTTACCTTGTGTCATAGAAGCCTTGGTGATATATGATCTTGAACCAGAACTTGATGTACAGAAACAGTTTGTACGGTCCTCATCACTAACTACCCTGAATTTAGGTTATCATTCTGACCACATGTATCGTACAACTAGCTCATTCTTATTTTTATATTTTTATCTTTATTCGATGTCATTCCGTTTTGTCATAGGATTTTCACCTCTCTTGATCCTTATCATATCACACTATGTCTGGTTGAGATTCACATTTGTCGCTTCACATAATCTTCACTCGACTACTTTTAAATGAAATCACATCACATTCATTTACTTTTTCGCCTTCCATCTTGTTTCTGTGACCTTTAGTCTCCTACATTTTCCCAATTGCTTTGCTGACCAGTGAAATATAATCCTCACTCACATTGATACACTTTGCAACTCCACTTATTGTAAAACGCAAACATACATACACAAACGAATTTCTTGTTACCTACCTCAACTTATAAGTACGACTGTACAGTCTTTACAATTGAGAGTGATTTTAAAGATTACTCTAACAAATAGTGCGCTGGTTACTGACGAAATCTCAGATCAGATTCAGAAGGCCCGTTCGACATTTGCCAACTTCCATCACCTGTGGCCCCGACTAGTGGGATATCCGATTATCTATCAAAAGATGAGTATGCTGCACTGTAGTTCGTTCTGTCCTGTTGCACGGCTGTGAGACATGGACATTAGGAGTAGAAGGCCATAAACAGTTATAGGGTTTTGATCATAGGAGTCTTCTTAGTACTGATCATGTTTGGTGGAATCACTGTATGAGCAATACAGAAGTGAGGTGATGGGGAATAGGCATGACAGACAGGTTGGTTGAGAAGGCTTTTATGTCCTAACTCACCACCTACTTTTACGTGCCATGTTAGGAGTAGTTGGATGAGGTTGGGAGAGGGTCAAGGGTGGGCGGACGAAGTTGTAGCACCAGTGGATGAAGTCTCTGACTGTTGGTCTGAGTCGTGAGAGGAGATGTAGATTACCTGGCTAGGGTCCATTAAAAGACAAGTATCAGTGGTTGAAGACTCTTGGTGATATGGCTGATAATCGGCCACTATGGAGCAGATGTATTCACTCTTTCATACCTCCTGAAGCTTGAATATTCGCGCTAACCTTTATCTTCAGATTGTTTGTTCTGTTACACAAGTTTGTTTACTTTGAAGTTACCCCATTTTAACCCATCTGTTCTTTGTGTACTTGTACCGATCCATTTGTATGTGAGGTTCTAAGTTGTTTTTGTACCTTCCTAACATCTGGTGAGATACCCAGTTACTTTGCCTTTATCAAAAGCAACCTTCCAAGCCAGAATGCTAAAACCTGATTAGATGTTTCAACAGTTGCTAGGGTGGCCTCTAAGGTTACTGGAAAATAAAGTTGCTGGAAAGAGGAACTTTCTTCCCTGAAATTTTGAGCAAATAATTACTGTTGCATTTTGAAATGACATCTATCTAAGACACGTTTCATACTGCTTTTGCCAGTATTTCAATAATTAATGATGTTTTGCTGATTTATTACTAATATTTCAGTTCTCAGTTTTACAATTTAATTCACCCTTTCCATTTAAGGTGGATTAGCATTGATGGCTTCATTTGTTCTCTTCACTTTCAGGCTAAGATTGCAACTGGTTAAAAGGATTACCAATCGAAGTGATAACCGACCTAAAAAGGGGCATAAACGATCTTGGCACAAAATGTTCACGAGTAAAAAGCGGCTTACTTCTACGAAGCAAGACACTTATGAATCTGAGTCAAAGGAAAAATTTGAAAATTCGAATAGTTCAGAAAAAAAGAAAAAACCGGAACTACAGACAAGCTCACAGCCAGCTGTAGATTGCGGAAATAATTCGGACAGGCGTGTCAAAGGTATGCTTTTCATTAGTTTTAATATACGAACATTCATATACACTCAGCCACCTTGTTCTGTAAGCAATGGGCGGCACCTATTGTGTGGGGGCTAGTGATACTCATCCAGCTGTCCAAACCTCAGTAGGTGGAATGTGGCTGGAACGCGTGACCAAGTGGTTGCTCCTCACCTCCCTAAACTACTGAACCACAGCTCCTGTTGCATAATTTACATCGTACGCTACGCTTAAATGGTACTGTTTTCAAAATGTTGACGGGAGAACCTCCTAGTAAGATATTGTACTACATTTTACCGCTCGTTATATAGTGTTTGACATATTGCTTTTGAGTTGAACAAACACTAGAATATATGCAGGATAAAGTGAATAAGTGATAGAAAGGTGTAATTTCAAACGTTTATAGTTGACGAACGTGTTTTATTTTACATACTGTGTATTTGCTGATTGAAGACGGTATATTTAGGAATTAACTTATTACCTCCATTTAGTAACGACACGTTCGCACAGTTACAGTTTTGATCTAACGTGTAGTTGATGTCCTGCTAAATGAGGAGGCTGATAAAATGCAAGAAAATTGTATGAATTTGTGATTGTACCGAAATTGCCAAGAAGTAACTCTTTACAGAAGTATTTCTTCTTCTTTCATAACTGAAAACCATTTTGATATTTTCCATAGGTCTACAAGAAAATAATAGATAGGAGTAAAGTGCTAATATCTATGATGTTTTATGATACTCAGTCACATTTATATATTTATAAACGTCCAGAACATAGTTGTTGCGAATAACCTGGAAGAAGTTGAACGCCGAGGTTGAATGAATCACTTCAAGAATATATTCCCTAAAATATTCTCACTAAATCATTGTATATTTCAGCATATTAAAATAAGACATATAGGTGAACGATACTGTTTACAAATGACTCACAACAGGCTTTACGCTAATATATATATCTCATATATAAAGCATTAAACTAATAATCGTGGTAACTAGGACATGAACCATGCAAATCGTAGGTATCTAGATATAGCAATAATAATAATCTCTATGACGATAAGAATAATAGGAACAGCATGGTACTAAAAACATTTAGACAAGCAATATAGGTCAAAACTTAGAGAAGATAAAGTTACGTAATAGTAGGGGATGAAGTGTGTAGAGAATGCAAGTCACTGCTTCTAATCTGGCCGTGGTCCAGATTTTCATCTCACCTTCAATCATCACCTGGCATAGATAAACATGTGTGAAAGAGGTGAAGAAAGGGAAGGAGGATGAAAACTGAATCTATCTTTGAAGTCATTTATTAGGTTTTCTCTGGTCAAGGGAGAGATAAAGGCACACAAAAATCAGGTTTGATTTCTATAATTCCCACCACCCGTCATGATGGCTAGGAAAGGGACAAGTGAAGTCAATACAAAGTTCGATTCTGTCGTAGTAGGTCCACAGTGGTCATGTACCAGACAATAACAAAACGTTCAAAATAATCTATTGCATTCTACGAAGCTTTTCGAATGGACTTCTCACTTATATTTTACATACAGCTGATGTTATGAGAATTAAAGAAACCAACCCCAGTCTTTGTGCACCGAAAACGTTTGTACAGCCTTTATCTCTCCCTTGACCAGAGAAAACCTAATAAATGACTTCAAAGATAGATTCAGTTTTCATACTCTTTCCCTTTCTTCACCTCTTTCGCACATGTTTGCTTAGACTTTGATCATCTACACACTTCTTCCTTTAGTATTGCGTAACCTTATTTTTCCTAGGTTTTTATCTACACTGTTTGCCTAAATTATCATTTTGACTATCTGAGATAGCCGTAGTTTGGTATACTAGTATTTATGATGGGTGATGATTGGAGGTAAAATGAAAACTTGAACCGCGGTCGGACTCGAACCCCCGTCCACTGGGCTTTCGGCTCGATGCTCTACCACCTAGGCTACGTATTCCGACTGCTGACCAGATTTTTATTTTACTTCTATCACCAAGGGTTTTCCCGAATACCATGTGAATTCATGACGCGTTACTATCTCTTGATCGTATTTACACCGACTGCCTAGTCAGGATTTCTCATCTAAATCCAAATCTAACTGGATTGGATTGGAAGAGCATCATATAGATTATCGTTTTAACTATCTGAGAAAGCTGTGGTGTAGCAGACCAGTATTTAGATTAGGATGAGAAATCCTGACTGGGTAGTCAGCGTGTATACGATCAAGCGGTAGTAACGCGTCATGAATTCTCAAGATATTCGGGGAAATCCTTGGTGATGGAAGTAAAATAAAAATCTGGTCAGCAGTCGAACCTCGTACATCAGTTGGCAGACCATTGGACCGGAAACCCGGTGGTCGCTGGTTTATCTAAATGTTTGTTTCCAATCTTCTCATCAGTACTGAGATAATAATAATTATTATCTAGATATCTAAGATTTGCATGCTTCACAGTCTAAAGAATCCACAATTATTGGTTTAATGTTTTATACATGAGAACAATTATGTATATAAGCGCAAAGCTTGATAAGAGAATTGTAAACAGTATTGTTTGCTTATATGTGTTCTTCTAATTTTGATAGTGGGAATTTTAACGTTATTTTAGTCTATCTTTAGGAATGCGTACAAGTTTGTAATTTGTTAGTAATATATATTCAGCAATTTGGAACTTAGTTCAATTAACATTTATTTTGCGCTTCTTTGTCTAAGTTATTCTCAGTAACACAGAAAATGAAAAGAATAATTCAAGACTTTATCCTTCTTTTACGGATTGGTTAACACGTCGAAGAAATAAATTGCCGGATCAACATCTTTCACCAGATATCAACATAAAACTTCAATGTGATGCTGATTCAACTCCTGTTGCAAGAGCTGAAATGATCCCGAGCAATACATCAAATTATTTGATCGCCAACTTATCCCCCACTAATTCTAGTCGCAAATCTTATAATTTATCCAGGCGTTTTCGGCTAACAAAATCTGAATATGTTCATCTAGCTGCTGTACCCTTACTACCAGATGGTGTTGAAGTGAATCATGACTTGGTTACAAGAAGGGAACAAAAACAAATGCATCAAACTCCAGTTTCTCACTCAATACCTCAATGCATGAATAATCAACCTGTTCTTCCACTAGATGACTCAGTTAGAACCCATACGGATACTTCACAGAATAGTCAAGGTATTTCTCCTGAGATTGTTTGCAGCAAATTGAATGCTTACTTAAATAGACCGACTAACCTGAAGTAAGTGGACAAAAATAGTTAATTCATGGATTTTGTTTCCTTGAATATAAAAAGAAGGACTAGATTTACGGAATAAAATTGTCATTACAGATTATTATTATTGTTATTGTATCAACAGTATTCACCAGCTGCGTATAGTTTGCAATTACGAAGAGGATTTAGAGCGTGATTATATAATCATAAATGAATGACAGTACATAAAGTACTGTGAAATTAGGGACTCCAAAGTATTGTTAAGACTAAAGTTACAAGTCACACATTGAAATCATTGCTAATTAACATATCATTTAATGGTGGGTTAAACAATTGTACGGGAGGCAGGATATACTATTTTCCGGATGATAGTTTACGCAACATTCAAATACATAAAACTGATAAGATTGAGGTCAACTCAATGAGTTGAAATCAGGAGGTGAGTTCCATAAAGAAGTATGTCATAGGAATGGAAAACGACCTATGTGTAAGCGCCATGAGGGCGATAGACTAAGAACATTGTCTTTATCTAGATCTGACTGGAAGTGTTTTGTAGTGATCACTTCCACAAAGCGTATTAGTTCAGGTAATTTCTATACACAGGAAGCGTCAACTCGATTTCCTGAACTTGCTAAAACTTTCTTTCGCACATGCATTTGCAATACCTGTAGCACATTTCTTAGTACTCATGTTGTACCAAGTTTGTGTTTTACATGAATAATAAATAAGACGTCATTGGTATAAATCGTCAACAGAATTTCGACTAGTGAAAGTAAATTTGATCCAATGATCTAAACTGGTAGTTAATTTTTTTAGAAAATTTGGTATTATTCATCTACAAGGACTCCACTAGAGTTACTACTACTCCATTTCAGGTTGACGCTATTTGATTTAAGGCAACAGACCGATTTGGTACTTTGTTCAGCTCTAATTTTTATCAACCTACGTATCTATTCATATGTGACGAATCGGTAGTTTTTTATAAGTACCACTTAAATCAGTATCTCACCTACGTGTAAGCATTAATGACAGAAAACAAGTTGAGACGACATGAGGCAGTTGAAAATGCTCTGCACAGGAACGCATTTGTAAGTATTCAGTCAAATATTATATTTCGGAAAAACAATGATAACGTATCTGGCTACATATGCTTAGGTTTCATTCTTTGAGGGTGTACTAAGTTAGTTAGTACAAAGCAGGCACAAAATGCTGATAGTTTATATGTGAATGCGTTTATATTAAAACAAACCTGTAAATACTATAAACACTCAATCACTTGTGTACAGACTATTAAGTTAATGATTAGCTTTTTTGAGTATGGATTTATTTTGATGCTAAGAAGGTGCACTACACATCTACTATAACTCACTGATATTAACTTTTGGAAAGAGAATGCGTGGTGTAAGGACTGGTATAAAATATTTATACACTTTTGAAATTCACCTAATGTTAATCTTTTGAAAAGCAGGTGACGTTCACTAACCATTCTGAACTGAGCATTTTTATTAATCTGATTGACGTACTTTGCATATTTTCTAACTACTTGAGCGTTCCATTCAACCGATAAGTTTCTTGTTGTTCACTTTTAGATTCGAGTTGAATACACCGGTAAAACCAGCTTCACATATAACACAAGTATTATCCAGTTCAGTGGAGAATCCTTATGTTTCCGGTAGAATCGATCTGATTCGTACATCAAGTTTTCTTGCTCGTAAACGGCGATATCTTAATCAATTACGAACTTCTCAAGAGTTGTTATCATTCTCAGCAGTCAACAGTTTTATGCATTCTAAGAATCACTCATTTAGAATGTCACCTGACCCTCATGCTATCACACATCGACGAGTAAATAGCTTTCCAACAATCAATACGAAACCTACAGTTGTATCGACAAGGTCAAGAAATCATGATGCATCAGTTCAAACTGATTATTCAACTTTTCATAAGTCATTTCATTCTGATAACAAAACTGAGTTACAAAGCTATTGTTCGGGAGATGCAGATACAGTATTAAGGCGTAATTCACCCTATCAAAGAGTTGAAAGTCTGTTAAAGAAGTCAAGTATAAAATTCAATGAAAAGGGAGTAAGTCTGATTTCATAGATACTTGGTTCCTATTAAACCTTTTGGATTGACTACCTTTAAAAATTGACAGATTTTAAATTGCATCTCACATTATGTGTTTAAGTCAGTTGATAAATCTCTTAAGAATTAGCGTCACACAACAGCTGCTTTACTGACAGTTTTGAAATACATCTTTTTGATATCAACTTTGGGGATTCCCTTATTTGCGACGAAAGAGGTATCCATTTATCTGTGGATCTAGACGATTTTCAAGTTGCTATCCATTTATTTTGCACACGGTATTTTCGAATGGATAATTACTTCACAATCTTTCTGTTAGACTTTGATATGTTATAGTAACGAAGAACAATCTGTCATGGTCTTTGAAATACTCTGCTACTAACGATTTTAAGAAGAGCTCACTCATCGTCCAGCAACGTTCTCATACAGTCTTTGCCGGGGGAGTGTTATTCCCTGCATAAACTTATTCGGAGTGTTTCCATAAAAAGTAAATGTAAGCCGGATCAAAAACGTCCATCTAATGGGGATGGAAAACCCTAACCCGAAACCTTTGTGCAACTGGTCTTCCGGATCCCGAAGAAATGAATAGCATACAAACCTACTTTGAACTATTTGGTAGGCACAGACAAGTAGCATCTGGTGTAACTCAGTGACATTTTAGATTAGATGTTCATTTGGAAGCACCAAAACTCGGCTAGTCACTCAAGCAATATCTTATCCCTGAAATGTGTCATAAGGCTATGCTACTTACTTTGACCAATAGTGCAAAAACGCGAACTTAATTCATCCAACTCTTATTACTTTATAGTTACTGTATTTTTATATGAATTTAGCTTTTATATTTGCTTAGGTTTACAATTTCTTTTATCTTGTTTCAGTATGCACCAAGTTTGTCTAGTGTTTAGGTGGTCGGCGAAATCATCAACCTGATAGGGTTGACGTGAGTGAGTTGGTGACATCATACTGTATCTCGACTAAACATCGGGTTGACGTTTATTGCACGGACACTTCTCCCCCCTAATTTATTTAGGAAGAAAGAAAGAAATTTGAGGTGAAAAATGATTGGCTGGTTCCTCTGTTTAGAAGTCAATACGTTTGTGTGGCCAAAATACTTTCCTATTGGACTAGGACACTTTCTCGTAGGAATCTGATGAGTTGAGCTTAGATAAGCTATCTGTATTTAGATTGGCTTATGCAACAATTACTTGTCACATAAATTCTGTTTTAAGAGATTAATCGCCTTCAGTTTACGATTAAATCCAAAATGAATTTAAAATTTGTGGAGAATTTAACTCTGTAGTGACAATGGTGTGTAATATTTCAGGGGGCCTGTTTCAAAATGAATTGAGTGTAATTGTTGTTATGAAAATTGTAATTTCCTTTCCTTATACATGGCTGAACTGCTTGACCTCTATTGATATATGGGCTCCTATGCGGATACCTTGTTACTACTACTGATTCATGATGTAACGTTGATCTCGGTGACTAACAGAGGACCCCAGGACTGGTGTTTTGTCCTACTTGTTACTTGGGTTAGTGAAAAAGGCCCTGTTTGTTTAAGCGTTGGGTGTGAAGTTTGATCCCCCGTGGTAACCACATCACTGACTGGGGTCATGCTACATCCAGCTGATAAATCCCGAGTAGGATGAAATGCGCGTCCTGGTAGTCGTCGAGATCAATATGCATTTAGTGTAATTTAATACTGCAAATGAGGTTTGCAGATAAATCTACATATTGAATGTATTAATCGAAAGTCTGCACATAGTGATAATTATTGGTCTTGTAAGTGCCGTCGAGACCTAGTAGATCAAGACAGTTTTCAGCTACTTTCAGCTGATCAGCTGTAGCGAAAAAAAGGATTTTAGATCTCCACCCTCTGTGACAGAGGAGGATGCTGATCCACTTTGACTGATTATATGCGCCTGCAACTTTTCACAACTGCCTACAACAACATCGTTACAAGGGGAATTTCAATTACCGGTCAAATTACACTTAGCGAAGAGGCGATAGCACCCATTGAACACATCTTGACTATTCAGTGGTTTGCCATAGTGTGCATAGACGAAGTCAACATCAATAAATGAAGCCGTTCCGGAATTATGCTCTCCAATTCAGCTTCTGTCAACTTACGCACCCACGAACTGTTGTCATAAAGCAGTGAATTGCAAGGATGACTGTGAGTTAACAGCCACCGGGTAACTGTCTAGAAACCTTCTAAGAACTTCGCGAGCGCGAACGCCGGATAATGACATTTCAGAGATATTCTATGAAGTAAATAATAAAAACAAATAGAACTGACCTTATTGTCACTACACCACCTATTGACCGGCGTTCACTAGCCTAATATCAGACAAACTTAACGTAAGCTCTTCGGTCACCTTGCAAATATGAATCTCGCACAATGTAGTGTGTGTACGTCTGTTTCTCATACTCCTTCAGGGCGACCTTCAAAGACTCTAAGGACGGAAACGCGACGAGACAAAAACGCTCTATAAAAATCGATTCGTTTTCAGTTACAACATTTTGGACGGTATCGTCGCTCATCATGAAAACGAAACAACCCGTCCTCAGTTTGCTCCATTTTATAGTACCTTTGGATTTCATGCAACCAATAACATGGAACATTTCGTCTATTTTAATCGGACAACAGGTGACACAGGAAGTGAGGAGGAAGGGGTAGAAAAAAACAGTTTAAAAAAATTTATTACAGTGGACCAAATGTATTTCTAAACATCGAACCAAACTAACTTCCTAACTAACTGTCAAATCTTCAGAAAACATATATTAGCGTGGACTGCACTTTGAAGTCTTGATGAATGTCGATAGCGTAATTAGAAGACGAAGTTTTTCTGAGCAATGTAATGTATTTGCGCTATACATTTCGAACAATCTGATCACTTATTTACTTGTCGAGTCAATATATATTAAACCGAAGACTGAGAGGGGGGATAAATACAACAATTAACACAATAGGGGATTAAAATTAAGAAAGATGAGGACAAACAGGAAGTGATATAGTTGGTCAGACTGTTCAAAATGTGTTGCACAAATACATCACATTTCTCAGATAAACTTTGTCTTCTAATTACGCTATCGAAATTCATAAAAGGGACTAACTGTTTCAAACTTGATGGATGTGTTGAGGGAATCTATTGGTGATTTTGAAGGACGTTTCACCAATAAACCCTGAATCTGTACGATCGTAGAGACTTCATGCATTTTAGCGAGTAACTAGTGCTGTAGTATGCATTATCCCCTCACACAACCAGTTACATAGCAGTGGGAGAGCAACAATGTGTCAGTCACGGGTGTCATTAAAGTGTCTATCTTTTGTTCTATTTGGTCGATATCCTGTTAAGATTATAAATGTTTTTGAGGCCTTGTAGATTTTCCACATGTTTTACAAAGTAAAATGTCATTTTATGTGGGCTAGCGATCTAACTTTGTCTTCTTTATGAGTCAACTGGTGTGTCGTTAGTTATAGTAAGATCAACTTGTACAAGACAATGCGCCACAATAGTACTATTTAAGGCCAGAGTTCGGCATTTCTCTTAACCCAGTCATCATAGGTTAAAAGTAGTAATAACGGTGAAAGCGTCCAACCAGGGAGGTAACAAATGTTCCCTGACAATGAAATGAATATTGCCTTGTATTTTAGATACATTGATAATACAAGGAGGAAAGTGTCAGTTTTTGGTCCCGTTATATAATGAAAAATTAACAAAAGACAATTTGGTGAAAAAGTGTTCTATTTGACGAGTCATTTACAAAAGCTGTACAACCTTAAATGTCATAATTCGCTAATGGATTAGTTCAAGGTCACCAAATATTGTTAACAAAATCACAAGTTGATAACGGCTAGAAGGTCAACTCAAGGTCACCCAAGACTGCTTGTTGCGATAAGTAAACAGACAATAAACAAAGCAATAAAGAAAATGTCCTAGGGAGATTATGACGAAGATAAAACTGGGGACTGAAGGTATCCGCTTTAAAAGTCTAAAGATTCCAGTAACATTAATAAAAAGGAACGATCAGAAGGAAGAATATTCTTTTCAATAAATTCTTATTAGACTGGAACTGCCAAATTGTCAAGTCTTCTGTTTTCTTCAGGTAGTGAATCCCCACTCCCTTAGAAATTTTTGACTGGACGTTATAAATGATTTTGAAAAAGGATTCATGTAGTTAACTCTGGTCACTTTTCCACCAGAATTTTCCTTCAAAATCATTTGTGAAGTCAAATCAAACGTTTGGAGCTGGGCTGCAGATTCAGCGCATGAAAGAAAAATGAGATATGACAATTCAGTGGTTCAAGTCTGATCTTTGCTTTTAAATGAGATACATTTAATCTCTAAGCTTACTTTCGTTATAACCTCCCTAAAACATTAATTTTATTTATTGTTATCCTACAACACTCTTTTTTGATAACCTTGTATTGACCCATTAGCTAATGATGGATTGATAGTTTGTTTTAATTATAACTACGATTGTACAGTTTTCGGGAATGATTCGTTGAAAAGAAAATATTCTCCTCTGAGTTGCATTCTGTGACTTTTTTTGTGTCAAATGATGTTGGTAGTTACTGTTATGGTCGTTGTTAGTCGAAAGCCATTGCATTGTATATCCTCTTGAAGACCTATATGTAAACCGCGGTTAGATACAGTTGCTAATGCATTCAAAGCAACACGTGTACCTGCAAACATAATGGGGTTATATATTATAAATCTGGTAAATGAAATGTTGTTTATAGGTAGTACGAAAACACATTTCATAAGTATTTTATGTTTATTATTTTAGTAAGCATTCAGCATTATATATCGCAACAGTTAGAATTTTATGATGGATTTCGCTTATATTGTCCGCATCACTGATTTCGCATATGACAAGTGACCTTTCAGCAGTAAACTTGACACTGAATGTACACTATACTCCTTTGACGTTTGTACAATCATAATGAAGATATTTTTTATAATTCTTATATGATATTTTCTTCATTTTTTCAGCTGTTTGATGTCCGATCTATAATTCAAAAGTATGAAAGTTATGAATCAACTGGCATGTCCAGTCATCAAATATCACCAGATGTAATCACTTCTGGCCAATTGTCGTCGAAATACAGTAGAATATCTTCAAACCATGCTGTAATGAATAAGTCACTGTTAGCAAACAGTTATCAGGCAAATAACCATAATATAAATGAAATGTCTAAATCAACTCAGTGTGAGACAAACGTTTTATCATCCCCTTGGTGTGCCTCATTATCTTCTAAAACGTCGATTGGTATACAGTGTAACATTTTTGATGAGTCATCTAATCAAATGAAACAGATTTGTAATGCAAGTGTACAAACAGAAATGAATGATGTACAGCAGCTGCATTTAGGGTAAAGTACTTTTATGGTGTGGAATCAGTTATTCTTTTACCGCGATACTCATACTATTAAGTCTTTTACTATGGATTTGTTATATTACAATATTTGTTATATACGATGTTTTATACTGACCAAACCAACTCATCCTAGTTACGTCAAAGTACATCCATCCATACATACGTGTACTTGGATACTCACTGGGAAGTAGACATATCCACTTGACGAGTCCCAAATAGAACGAAACATGCGTCTCGGACTCTTTTCAAGGCCACTATCCATTAATAAGGCTAAATTGAAGATACCGGCAATATTGAGACATCCGTATAGGAAATCATGAGCTAATAGTCGTCGATCAATTCGGTCCAGCCAACGACAGAGATTCACAAGCTATCACAGATATGAACAAACAATTGTAAAACATTTTTTTTTCTGTAGATAATATATTTTGGAAGCTACGGATATACTCCAACCTTGAAGGAAGAGCCAAGCGAGAAATTCGGTTACTTGAAAAAAACCCCATCATCCAGTCCTTTGAGAAATTGAAATACTTGGATAGTTTATTAACGAGCCTCTAAGCTGACAGGTTATTTTGAAGTATTTATTAGATGTTACCTTGATTGTCGATGTTGCTCGGAGTATAATCTGGAGAGTCTATGAAGGGATAGAAGTCCACTGAAACACAGTCATCTAGGTGCTTCTTTAAATGGAGCAGTTAATGAGACTTTAAGTACCATACATAAATGAGATCTTAAAGGTAAGTGGTAAAGTTGTTTTTTTATTTAACTTATATCTAATCGGTTTCAACTAGGTATTCGTGATGGACTGACATTTGGAGAACCATTGCGAACCTGGGAACACTGGTAGCCGTTTCGTCCTGGTACGGACTCCTCAGCTATGTGCAACGCACTAAGGATGGATTCCAGGGGCTTCAGCTCTCTTGGAGAGTACTGGGCCAAAATCCAATAGTCTGCATCCTCCTGCTTCTTTCAGTTCACGATATAGCGCTATTTACATCCACTGCCAACCTGCTCGCTGTTCAACCTGGAAGCCCTAGGTTAAATCCCTAGAGGGCCTCTTCGGTGTACACTGATGAACGGCCCAGTATTAGAAGAAAACGGCTGCTCAGTGCTCACAGATTTTCAACGACTCTCCAACTGATATCAGTCCTTGATGAATGCGAAGTTGAAATGAATAAGACCTCAACAAGCCTACAAATTGAAACTCATTACTAATTGGTTGGTGTTTTAATGATTACATTGTAACAAGCTTTGGTATTGCACCTAATTATGATTTTAGTGTGTTCTGTCTTTACGACGAACTTAACGCTGTTACTTACGTTCTTCAGGCTACTATACCATCTTTTCGGGTGTTTCTATAAATTGTAGGCCACTATTACACTTTAACAATGAAAATGTTGTATACTGACTGAGAAATTGATTCAATATTCATTGAAATACTTTATATTTATATCCATTTTAGCAGATCTGCCGAACTATGTACAGTTTCAAAGAACCAGATCCCATTACCAATTAATAGGGAGGCTTCAGGTTCCGAAATGACCATTTCGTCCTCTGATGACTTCTTTAACTTGCCAAAACCTGGGTTGAATAGTAGTTTAAGTAAGTTAGCAAGGCAGCTGTTACTCAAATGTCATTTACTCAAATTTTTATGCTTTTTTGTTGTTTTACAATTTCATAGATGAGTTACTACTTAGAGCTAAACCATGCTTAACAGCATTTGATGGAACATAAACTGTACTTATAAGTTGTGTGTAATGAGTAACAACCACTCCAGTCCAGTGATGTTACTATAGACATGCGGGTTGATGAAACCAAAGCAGGATTTGATAAAGTTATGCACCTGTTTAATTCTCTTGCATTATACACGACCACACTTAAACCAAAGTCAATGAGGAAGAGAGGAGAGTGAAGTGAAACTATTAATCTGGGCACTTGTAAAATGAGTAAATAAAATAGGAAGGGAAGATGACAGGAATAACTCTCTGCAAAGTAATGATTTCTAGGAGGATGAGAAGTTAATGCATCTGTTCTACTTTTATTGAACCATGTCACATCCAGTCCCAAAACAACAATTTCGGTTGTCCTGATGAAATTTATGGTTTACACAAATAGTTAGTGACTTAATTGGTTGCAGTAATGTCTTTGTTTGAATGTCATCAGCATTCAATTGCCCTAATCTCTTCCTAGTTAACACTAAGTCCGAAGATAGATGAAGATCCTGAACCATTTCAAGTGATGAAATATCAGAACATAGACTTGTATGCTTCATGAATACACTTCACCCAACTGCTGGATTACTAGCACAGTGAGGTTACAAGTTTAAAGCTGACAAGATATCCGAAATCTTTATAAGGCTTCCTAAATTTGAAACAGTTATTATTATTCATGAATTTGCATAATGTAATGAGAACCTACGTCTTCTTATTATATTATACAAAAAGCCTTCTAATCTTGTTAGTTGTCTGTCATAACCATGTAGCGTATTCCTGTACACTGTTCAGATTACTTCTGACTTCTACAAGTGACCCAAGTTAACAAAAGTGTAAGTGCCTGTTTGTCACACTGATATTCAGTTGTAAAGCGGACATCATCAAATTCTTCATTAATTTCCTCGTGTTAAAAGTTGCAAGGTCATGCGACTTAGAATCGTCGAAAATATGTTGTTTTGAGTACTTCTCACATTCTTGCCGCATGAAAATTGGTAAATTAGAACAATCCAAGGAAAAGACAAATGACTTCCCAATCCTGATGCGTACTCTTTCCTGTCCTAGTATTAAGCTCACGTTGATACTTTATAGACATTTCATGTAGTCATTCATCATAATCTGCTACTCCTATCTGTCTCAGGTTACTTCATCAAAAGCCAGAGGTGTGTTGTCAATGCCTTTCTAAAACTGCTCTTTGACAGTCGATAACTAAAGATTTGTTTTTGGACTACTGAAGTACTGTTTAAAGCGTTCTGCGCACATTCACATGGGTTTTCCTTATTAGCTAAATGACTTAATTGTGCGTGATATGATTTCTATAATCCAAGTAAACAGGACAAATAATAAACGATTGACATTTGCGTACATTTCAACCTCTTAATTATATATTTTTTCTTCACTTAAAGGGAGGTCATCTGAACTTAATGGCAACCAAAACCTTTGTAAACCACTTTCTAATTCGATGCTGGAAATTAACAACTTCACTCGATTTCTAAAACCATTGAACTCAAAATGGCATAAATCAGCAAGTTTTCATTTCGACAAGACAAAAACTATAACTGATCGTCACACAGATGAAGGCGTTATCTTCCCCCATAAAATTCAATCATTTCATTATTATTACGATATTTCTTCATCCTATGGATCATTTCCAACACCACCTGTCTTCCAAGAAGAAAAACGAAACTCAAGTAAAGTGAAATCTGATGATGAATATCATAACTTTCTGAATATCCCATTGTCAGGGACTATTTCAAGCTGTAAAACACCTGATTACCGTAATCAATCGATATTGTATGTTGAATCGTCTGAGAGTTTGTTTCACTTTAAACAACCATCACCACCACCATCATCATCAGCTTGTCAACTGAAGAGAACTCCTCTTTCTGAAATCCATTCAAACGGTGGTAATTGTCAGTATTCATGCCAAAATGGCAATAAACACATTACAAGTAATAAACAACTACCCAGTCCTTCAACTTCATTCCATTCAAGTAAGCTTTTCATTTGTTATGAATTATTGTATGTACTGATTTATATAATGTATTCCAAGTGCATGAATACCTTGAAAAGTGTTGTGCCTACTGTAATAGTGTATTTTGTTGTAGCATTGAGGTCAGTCAAAGGGTACTTATCATAGAAGGTAAGTTAGTAAGTAATGTTATGAACCCTCTTCAACTGAAGTGGCTTGGGCGTGTATTGCGCATGTTGACCCACTGGCTATCTCGATGTGTAATGTCAAAGGTAGTTGGGTTATACTGCGAGAAGGCTCACGGTGATCGGACTAAGATGTAGCACCTATGCATGAAAAACCTAACTGCTGGTCTGTTTTGTGTGCGAGTTCCCGCGACGACAGAAATTATATGTTGAGGACTCTTGGAGACATAGATAAAAACCAGTTCCAGTGGCGCAAATGCATTCATTCTTTGATGTCTTCTAAAACTTGAACGTTTTGACTAACCTTGATTTTCAATCCAATTTGGAGGTTTGTGGGGATTTATATGATTTCGGGTTGGTATTCATCATAGAATGATGTCAGTTCAAGAAACATTAGGAACCTGATAACACAAAACAGCTTTTAGTCGTAGTATGGAACACTAGCAGTGGGCACACACGACCTCATCAGGGTTGGGACCCAGGATCTTAAGGTTCCGTGACTAGCACGATACCACAGAGTCACTTAATTACAATACAATAGTGCACATTTCTTACTTTGGTCAGTTGACGATATGAAGGTGGCCTCCATTCAACAGCTGCAGGGGTCATGGATATGCACTGTTGAGGAGTCCCATACTAAGACTAAACAGCTGTTCAGTTCCCCAAGATTTCCATTATTTGTCAAGCTGATATCAGTTCATGATGAATACCAACCGTAGTTTTTAAATCCCTTTTCTTTTTATTTATCATTATCTATTTTGATGTCAGTTTGTTTCTAATACACTAACATCTTTATTTCCTATCCACCTACCATGTATTTAAATATGTGAGCAAGATGGAAGCAGTAATCTTATGTACTCTATCTTCTTTGTCTATGTCAATAATCTGTTCATGGGGATTTGAAAGTTTTTGTACGAGTAGAACTTTGACACTATGATAGTGTGCAATTTGATATTAGATTGTTTGTTTGGATGTTTCACACAGTGAAACAGTACTGGATAACTTTTTCGATGCCATAAGATCGGATTGATTAAAGCGGAAAAGTTAAATCACATATAACAGGGTTCTTTATTCGCATTTTAAACAGTACATTAAGGTGTTGTTGTTCTCAGGAGTATCTGATTATTTCATTAATTTGTTTCTACGCTTCATATTTTAGTTTTTCCTTTTTCTTTTTTCATTCCTTACAACATCACAACAGGTGAAAATTTACCACCAGTCCAAAAATGATCATCAACATCAGTTTCATCTTTGTCATCGTCATCTTCGCTATTTTCTTAATTATATTCTTTTCAGATATCTTCAGTGGATAAATACTCACAGTATACATTCTGTGTACTAGAGAGTTAACGTAAAAAAATTATTCACTTGAGATTGTTAATTTAATTGTTAGCTTTTAAAAGTTGGGATGAGAAGCAAGGATCTGTAAAATTCTTTTCCAAATTTTATTCCCCCATTACACAAACTTTCATACTTGTCATTATTATTATTATTAGTATTATTACCATCACATAATTTGTAATATACTCATACATATGTTACAATTGTTTCACCTTTTCGCTATCGCACTGTAATCATTTTACTTATTTGCTTATCTTGGTTATATTGTCTCATAAGCCTGGTTTTAGAAAATCATATGATTGCACCTTAGAACTTCCATTCTTTTTACAATAGTAGATTGACAAAAATGGTGTTGTTTATACCTTCGAAGACAATATCATTAGAGGTCGAGGGAGATACTTGAATAAACAATATATAATTGGGAGATGGGTGACGAAAAGTGTAGTCTCTGTGCAAGATTATCATCGAGTTGTACTTACAACAGTCAAGATTGAGGAGAATAAGTTGTCTAGTCAGAAGTATTCACAGCCTGGGTTAATCCTTAGTATGATGTGTTAAGCACATCTGCGTTTGGTTCTTTGCTAATTCCGTTTACTGCTCAACTTGTTCTAGATGGGTTACTTTATGTTTTGTAATGTAAAACACTGAAAGATAATATTTTATGCACACTGTCGGTATCAGTATGATTTAATCTTTGAGTATTTTACTAGCCAGGGAACGATCTTATTGATAAGATAACTAGAATGATTTGAAAAGAACCCCGTTAAAACTTTCTGACTTTGTAACGTTAACTGAAAATGTAGATCTACGTAAGTATTTCTTAGTCTTAGGGATTTAGCTTAGAGTGACCGTAATAACTAGGAATGGAAAGACTGGGGGTGAATTGTTCGCCACAGTATATAAACTATTAGTTACGATATTTGACAGGCATAATAATCATTCAGTGTATTGATAGATTTTATCGTGTTTACCGGTATTAGCGGCTGATATGAATATTTTTGAGGTAATCGTGCAATCAGAGATGCGTATCATATTCCCTTCAAGTCGTATTCATGATTTTGTCACTGGTGACTAACGTGATAAAACACCATTCCGATGAAAAAAATCAGTCTCTGGTTCGCTTTTATCGTCTTCAGTAGGGTTCTGTTGGCTGTGTCCTTCATTCCTTTATCAAATTTATGAGGAATCTTCAATCTGAATTGGATAATAATAATACAAGTAGCTTTATTTCAAAAAATATGTTCAGTATAGTGAGGGATGGACAGCATGTAATACTTCAATAGATTCACTTGCTAGACAATTCAAACAAAATGATTATGGCATCTGAATGATGCTTATGATAACAGCATCAAAGATAATAATGTGAAGTGGCCAGTTGTTGTTGGATTAGCTTCAGGTGTTCAGTTGTGGTGGTTCATTCAACCAGTAGAAGAGTGTACTATTCAAGATAGGTATCCGAAGAATCGAAATATGATGTACTTTTGTGCAATCAAAAGTTCATTCTTATCTAATTTGACATTTCTCCTTTGTTTTGTTATTACTTTGGAAACGACTAGTTCAGAATATTTTAAAAATCCCCAAGGGTATATGATATGCTTGAAAGATACATTTGAGAGATTAAAACAAACTGGAAAGGAGGAATATGACATACTCTGTCTGGTGGAAAATCTCATTAGTAGCCCAAAGTTCAAGCAAGCCACCCACAGTTTGCAGTCCTGAAAAAGGGTATTTTTATTTTTTGGAGTAGAAGAATGTTTTTCAGTATGGACGAAACAGGATGTCCAGAAAATTTTAAATTTACCAGTTTATGTTAGATCTTGAAATGTCAGATGTAGTTGATAACGTGAACTCGGTTGAAAGGCTAACAACCATTTTACTTACCAATATTTTTTGGGTTGGCATACTTCAGCCTTTCTTTTTTAGCGTCTGAATAGATTGACTGAGTTATCATTAAAGTGGTTTGTTTGAAAGACCTCATATTCATCGACTTCCATCGCCAAAGATTAAAAGGTTGCTTGCATCATCAACTTATTTGACTTGCCTACCGTAGAATCTGGTGAATTGATAGATTTCTGGTGAACACCGAGAATTAGACAAAACGTTATTTACAAATTTCGAGGGACTAGCTTCTAAACTTTATGTTTTTTTACAAGGAAGCAGTTCTTATTCAAAAAATTGAAGGGTATTATCTGAAGTATTCGTTTTAATTATTCAGGGGGGAAAAGGTTATGAGAGGACGTTGTCATACCAGATAAACAAATACTGGTGTATATCGAATACTGCTGTAGGATATCCAGATCATTGTATGAAAAAGAGATCAGTAAAGCGGACGGCAAACACTTTCAGTGTAAAATGGGATATATTAACGCTTCGCTTTGCAGAATAAAAAGTGAATAAAAGCATACCAACAGAATAGTAGTTTTTTCTGTTGTGAGAAATCTTCGTAAGCATTTTCGACAAACGATAAGTTTAAGCCTATCAACAGAATATTCTTAACTATGAATACCACGATTTAACTTACAGAGTAAAGCTTATGCATATACGGACACAGTTCAGTGATGTGGTAATATGTTGATATGGCTCAAGCTAGATTTCAGGGGCACACATCGCCTATTATATCATGATTTTGTTATTCTTTTACCAAAAGTTGATAACCTGATAGACTAGAGAATTTATGTTAGGGAAATTTGTTTCTTCTCACTCATGAAATTATGATAACACTTAAGAGGAATGATAACCTGTGTAATGCTCAAGTCATCATCGTTGATGAAACTAAACGAAACTATTTTAGTATCTAAATTAGCTAGTATTTTGAAATATAAGTGTGTCATGTTGTACGAGAGATGAAGAAATGGCATATTTTTTGCGTGAAAACTTTATCACAACTTCATAGGTACGCAAGCCTTTCGACAACTTAAGGCGACTTTATAGCAAGAATAAGTGCAAATACGGGCCTCTGTCACTCTTGTAGAAGCAGTCTGCACTTTGGTGGTGCGAAGCACATACCATACGTACGAGGACTGGTCAATAATTTATTACGTACGATTTAAGTGACCTGTATATTGTCATACAGTAAAACGATATTGCTTGCATATTTGAGATCGAAAAGTCTTTCAACGAGTTACAGGCGTAGGCCGCCTCACATACGTCCTTCAGGCCTGTTTTTAAAATGTCATCGATAACACCTTAAAATAGCAATGAGGCTCTTCCTAATCTCACTATTCGTTTGAAACAGTGGAGAGAGATGCATGCACACCCTAACGGTATCTGAAGTGTTGAGGTATATCCCTTTCAAAGTGCCAACAAACGTTTTAAAAACATCTTTCTTTGACAGATAGTTTCAAAGCGTGGCCCTGTCCGTCGAACCAAAGGTAGCGAGTGCTATTGTCAACGAAACAACGATTGTTGGACTGAAAAACATGTGACAGTTCAGGTATCCGATGGAAGATCAACATATGATTAGTGTATCGACAAGTTGAACAAATCCTGGAGCGTTTGTTGTGGATTAGTTTCTAACGTCCGAGAAGTGTAATAACAGATACCACTCTAGACGCTACCGGTAGCATACTGATAACCTGATGATTGTAATATTTATTACGGAGACCATTATAAGGATAAGTACAACAATGGCTAATTCCAGAATGACAGAACACTCAGTATGCAATGCCTCAAACGACGTGGTTGCTTTCCTGACTATAGTCTTGCCTCCATCCGTGAAAGGAGTCGAAGGTAGGTTGTCCGGGCTGGGGGCCTTATTACACTTTAAAACTTGGAGTGAACTAAAAGTCCAGCACAAGGCAGCAAGATCCCTGTTTCTGTAGCAGTAAGTCAGACGAACTTCCTTCCAAGGTGTTACCCCCAAATTTCCAGGGATCCATAAAAGCTGGTAATCAGCATACCATATGCTCCATAAACCGTCTGATTCAGGCTAGGCTTCTGGCCATCAGTGGCTTTGACGTACTGAAACAGCTTCTAATTACAGCTAGATGCGGATGGAATGTGTTCTGACCACTAGGCCTCGCGGTACTTAGGCAGATGCTGTTTGATCTTTCACGGGAGGGGTTTATGCACATCATTCTTGTTGCCTACCAGAATGCATCGATGAGAATCAAGAGGTTGGGAGGAGCTCGTAGAGACCCGGCGTTTGATGGATGTTCTTCGGAGTCACAAGGACACCTTTTCGACCATCCGAATAGATTACTGTATAGAACAAAGATGGATATAATTTAGGCAGGTGATTTAATAACTAGGTCAAAGAGACTTTTTCATGTTGTGCAAGTGCCGCAGTACAAAAATGGAATGAGGAACTTTTCTTAACTATGAAATATAAAACTAAGTGGTAAGTCACCAAGGAGGAGTAAGAATAACCTGAATATCCTTAGGGTAATCATGTAAAGTAGTGTGAAAGAATGACATTTATTCAGTGTAGTGAAAATAAGTTGTATGCACTCTTCGTCTTTGTTTATATACTCCCAACGAATATAATACGCACGCTTAACTGACAGCTGACATCGTACGCAGGAGCCACCGACTGCAACCCGGGACGAATGGAGAACAAATCCAAAGCTGAATAGGAGAGTTTATTCCTCCAAGCATATCAATTAATTAATTAATTCAAAAACACGCTGGTATGTATACACATGAGATGATATAAACTTGTCTGCAAATTGAGACACTGATATAGTAAGAGTAAGGATTAACCAATCAGGGAATTACATTACAATCTTGGCAGAAAATAAACTACTAGTCATATTGTAAAAATGGTGTAAAAATGACAAGTTAAAAATATCCAGATCAGTAACAATGTTTTGTGCAAAACTGGGGCCTTACAACAGTCTTGTACATTGTTTAGAGCTTTTTATACGAGTCACTAACGTTTGCCATATTTGTGGGATATCTGATCCACATTTTTTGTTGAGTGCAGAAGGGCATGATTAGATATGTAAAACTCCATCAATAACCCACCTCTTGTGAGAAAGGAAACCTTTTTGTAGGATTTCCGCTTTTTAAAACGACCCTGAGTGTAAGGCGTGTCACAGCCTTTCAAGATTTTCCAGTTTATAGGAATTTTTTGGTTGCTGTTTTCAAACCTAGCCATATTTAGATAGACACGTTCACAAATGAAGTGATGTCACATTCACTACAGTACACCTCATAGACTCATTTCTGTTGGTCCGGAGAGGAATCATTTTTTTTATTTCTGCAGATGTGAGTTGACAGTTTTTATCACTAAAGAATACTTAGATGTTGGAAGTGTTTAAAATGCATTCTGGACTTTTGTAGATTTCTTCAGTCACTGATTTGGAGCATATTAACCACCACATAGGATTTACTTCATGCAT